AAGGGCATAATTAACTAACCTATAGCAGCGATCAATAATCTTTAGATACTTCATGCTATTTCCCTGTTTAAAAACCCCACGCAAGCTCCACGCAAGTTAGCTAAGTACGCGATTAGTTAATCATCCTACAAACTAGGTTTTGTGGAACGCAGTGAAGTCGTGTGGTTCATATCAGATCATAGTCAAAGTTAACGACGTTTTTATTCAACCAACCCCAGGTCGTAGCTCAAATTGCCTTGGTAGTGCATAAAAGTGCATTATATCTACCGGTACGAATTGATATTTTATATTTCTGGCATTATTAAAATTTGGGATTTACAGTGATAAGTGATGGCCAATGTGCAACTGTTTATTCCCATGAAATTAAATTACTGGGTTCTTACTACCACACATTGGAGCGCAGTAGCCATATACATAAACGTTGTGATTAAAGTACAATGTCGCGATCGGTTTAGGATGTGGCAAATTGACGATGGGACATAAATACGGTATGCATGTACACTACACTGCATGTTAAAATGCTTTTTAAGTTGGTTTTTTATGTGGGCAAAGGTATTGCGAGTCTCAAGGTAACAAAGAAGTCTATAGAAATCCCATATCATTGTGGAATACATTGAACAAAAGGTTGGGGTAAATTATTTCCGGCAACAGAGAAGATTATTAAAACACATATTGTTATAAAAAAGAATAGCTATTGTTATAAAAAAGAATATCATATCAATTCTAAGGCGACCATGCTCCTCAACTGCCGTGGCCGGCTCCAAAAGGAGAGCGGCTTCTTTTCATACGTAAAATCGAAACAGGCTGCGTGGTTTGTTTTCGCTTGATTACAACTTCTATCCCTAGTTTGAACCGAACACTCGTGCTCACTGTTCTAATACCGTTAACAGTTATCTCTGTTTTCACTCCCATCGGTGCGATTGCATGCATAAAAATGTTTGACGATGTTTGGTCTCGTCATGTCCATTATGAGTTCATTGTTAATCTCTCGTTAAACTCGTCATTCCGCTTTGTGTCCGGCGCAGCTTCACAGCCTGCCCGGTTATATGATAAAGTTTTAACTTTAACGAGGACGATGCACTTCGAACTTTAAAAATTGACTGAATGAGACTTACGCCTGTATTCTAAAAGCTCACTCACACCCAAACTCATTGAGTGGGAGATCTTAATGTTATCATAACGTTTCCATGGCGGTATTTCCAGCCGAATCGGGGCTTGATTTTCAGTGTTTTACCTTAAATCTTTCCACCAATTCCGAAGTAACTTTCTCATTGACTAGCATTAACAAAATTTATATGTCACACTCAATGAGTGTAAGTATGAGTGAGCTTTTTGAATACAGGCGTTAGGGTTGAAAATGAAATGTCTATCAGTTAGTCTTCGCATGTTTATACAAACAGAGGGGAACTCTATGCTGCACGAATTTAGTGAATTTATTATTATAGCGAGGTTCAGATTTGACTTCCACTACCACTACCGCTACCTTTTGCTGACCTATTCAGCATGTGATTGGTTAATCAGGTAGACTGGTCGCATCTGATTGGTTTATTTCCCATTTAAGGTCTCGGTAGTGGTAGTGGAAGTCAAATCTGAACCTCGCTAATATTACATGTACCGCTACCAACTGACAGAACTTTTGAGAAATTCATATTCATGAGGCGTAGTTTTGCAGTCTCTAACAGACTGAGCTAGTTATTGAACTAAATTTCAGTCTGGTCAGTCATGTCAAATTGCCTTGTCAGATCTCGATACAGGGAAATTTGTTAGTTACTCGTCGTGGAAAACATCACGCTTCCTGAAGCCGTACTGCGTGACCAAGTAACTTTAGCGTTTTCGAATATTTAGTCTATCTCCTTAGTCTATCTTAGCGGAGACGATCACGATTAACAACTGGGGCCGCTAACCGCTGACACAATTTAATAGGTCTTTAATAGCTCTGGCTTCTGCGAAACAGTAGCGATCTTAAGATTCAGCAATATGTAATGTGTAACTTATTTACTTCTTTACAAATTCAATCGCGTTAATGAGAAATATTTAGTGCTTAAACACATTAGTAATGATAAAGTAATTTAAATTATGCTAAATATTACTAATGCAATTTAATTAATAATCGCTACATTTTAGTGGCGCGCAGTTATTTTAGATTTTCTAACTTGTGGTCTTAAATACAATGCAGATGTTATCAAGAGCAAGCATTTATACAATATGGTTAAAACATTTCGTTATCTATCGTCAATTAACAGTAATTTTTGCATAGATACACAAACAGATCATTCGACAAAATGTCCTTTCTTTGCCCAATAACCCGATAATCTTTCACTATACAGATAGAAATATCTTTTACCCAGAAGATGCAAATCTCGATGCTTTTCGTACCATTTTTTCCCTTATATTACAGCTAACTCTGAACTCCAAATCAGACTGAATGGTTCAAGTAACAATATGAGTGGAAGAGTGGAAATCTATCATACAACATTTGGCTGGGGCACAGTCTGTGATTTTACAAACCAAGAGGAATACGTGAATATTACGGTTGGTAACGTCGTCTGTCATCAGTTGGGTTTCTCTGGAGCAAGCAAAATGAGAAACGATGCCCATTTTGGTGAAGGAAGTGGTCCTGTATTGCTTTCTAATGTTAAATGCTCTGGTGATGAATCATTCATCTGGAATTGCAAGCATAATGGATGGAATAATCCTTACACTGGCTGCGACCACAGCTGGGATGTCGGTGTGGATTGCTACTGAGATCACAATCATTCAAGGACACTGGGTTAGATAATAGACTAGATTTTCTTTTTCTTGCTGCTTACATTGTTAATAATATATGGTCTGGAATTTGGCTAAACGGTCAAGCTTCAATTGCTTTAATAAACAAGGACAACGTCTGAAATTAAAAATTGTCACCTGGTAACATTCGCCTAATGGACACTAACACATCAGTCCCAAGACAACAATGACCGGCCGGTCTATACGTAGTTGGGATAGAGATCTTCTTAAACCCGCTAAATGTTAGGTATTTTAAACGTCTAGGCCTATTACATATCTACTACGTGATATAAAGAGATATTAAAAGTCCTATTCAATTTTGTGTGCAACTTGCAATGCAATTCTACCCATGAGACATAAAAATTGGAAAATACAACATTTGATTACGCTCTGCTGACTTACCTTAACATTTCGAGTACTCTTTCATCTCTCTAACATCAATCAAAATTACAATTACATTGCCAGTTGCAAGGAAAATTGCATCGTGTAACAACGCCTTAAATCAGAAGCGTAATTTAATCAGCTGTCAGTTTCGTCCGCTCTGAAAGAAATACATGATAAAACCTGCAAACTCCGAAAATTAAAGTTCGGATACCTGCCAGCTCAACTAAATTATACCAAACTGTTCACTATCCAGCAAAACGTTTGTCAATTTTTTTAAACTAAGATATACTGCACTCATTTAGAATCTTTTACGCAATTGGCGATGCTATATTTGATAAATACTTGTTTTGCCAAAACTCCATTTTCCGCTTTACACGAGAGGTAAAAAGCCTTTAATCCAGCTTCCAGACCATATATATATGATCCAGGGGCAGCGAAGCAGAGCGGGAGACGGGGGTCATATAGATCTCAAAATAAGTTTCCTATTCGATGAACTTGTCTGCGTCACTGTTCGAAAGATTGTCTTCAAGCGTAACTGGTGAATGTCATTGGATTTCCAGGGTTGTGCTAAGTTTAGAAATTTTCCTTTTGCAGCCTCTTTCGAAATGCCGATCGATCTAGACCCCCCAATCCCATATTTTCCTTGCGGTGCCTGTGATCTGTCCAATACTTCGCGCTAAATGTTCAATTCAACCATAAGATATTATCACCGAGATTAGAGAAGCTAAGCTTGATGTAACTGGCAATACCAGTTGAATGCTTTATTAGACAGTTGAAATAAAAAAGCCGTTGCACCATAAACATAAAGTCACTAAAATCTAATTCCATCAAAATAAGTTTTTGAAAAATAAAACACTGTAACAATTAAAATTTAAGCTTCGGGGAATTGCCGGACTGACGTTCATTATGGATTTCGTTGCGAATGTTTTTCCTGGTAAACGAATTTAAATGATAATCCACTTATGTTGAAAAGAATTGTCTTTGATGACAAAAATCTTAGCAATTCATGACAATACCATGTTTTGGCGAAAGAGAGAGAAAATACTGTTTATCATTACAAAAATCATGGGAATAAATATTGACTATATCATACTCTCCCTTGACTGTATGGTGCAACTCGCTCTATATTTCATTTAGATTAGAATTTGTAGGATTGGTAGTTTATTGTATACAACAGTATTTTTTAGTTTTTAGACGCGTCTCAATGAAAGATTGTCAGTCAGCATGTTGGTCAACCAGTCTGTTCCTACTTACTTTAAAGATGAGGGGACTTTGTGTCAATGCTTATGAGAAATAATTTGTGTAAATGATCATGGCTGATAATTGAAAGGCGCGTCATTAGCGCTTATATTTGATTCTTGTTCTTGTTATATTTGATAATCAATTATGTAATTAGTATAGCTCTGTCGTAACCGGCAGTTGCTTTTGAATTTCCACCCAGTAAAAGTTTAAAAATTCCAACTGGCTTGTGTTGTTTTAATTCAGCTAAGTTGTCTCAAACTGATGGTAATGTACTCGAGTAGTGGTTACTATACTAAATGCATGAATAACTTCTAATTAAAAGCTGGGCGTGGAAAATGTCATGCGTCAAGTTAATTAGATAACAATAGAACTGAGAACACACATAAAAATAGAGAAAAAGGAGTGAGACATTCAAGAAATCAGTGAGCAATCGTGAGGAAATTTTTGGTTTTATGTAAAGTTAATTATAAACGATAGGTATACCATTGTGTGAGTTTATGAGTTCGGTATACTAGTGGTGCCGTGACCAGGATACGAGTGGATTAAAGCGACGAAAATCAATCAAACAAAGTGGTAAAATACGAAGACAAAACAGTTTATTTATCAGTATGAGCGACGAAGAAGCGAGCGAGATTACAAACGCAGGCGAGCAAAAACTCGAAGGAGATATTGAAAAAGAAATCGCTAAGTTAAAGTATTTCTTAGAAGAAACAAATGAAATTATTGAAGCGAAAGATTACGATGAAATGGAAGCCATATACAATCGCGCTGGGAAAATAATTGTCAAAATATCAGAGCTTATTTCGCAAGCAGAAGAGTTGAAAATCGATAACGGAAAAACAACACGTACAGTCAGACAGTGGAAAAAGGAAACAAAGTCTAAATATTCAGAGCTGATCGTAGACAACGAGAAAATTGCACAACAACTAAAGGAAAAACAAGAAAAGGCTCAAGACGAAGCAGAATTGCGACGATTAGAATTAAAAGATAAACAATTTCAACAAGAAGAACGATGGCGGGCTGAAATTCGAGAAGCACAAGAGGATCGCGAACGACATTTATGGCAAGAAAAGCACGAAGCTGAATTACGCATGACGCAGAGAAAGATAGAAATGGAACAGACCGCTCGTTCATCTACAGCGAAATTACCAAAGTTGAAAATAACACCGTTTAATGGAACTCCCACAGATTGGGTGCGGTTTGAGAATATGTTTCTAACACTTGTTCATGAAAAAGCGAGTACAGCCGAAGAAAAATACGGGTTTTTATTGGAAATGGTGAGCCCAAAGGTGAGGGAAAAGATTGCTAATTTGAAACCGGGTGAAGTTGGTTACAAGATTGCATGGGAAAGATTAAAAAGCGAGTATGGTCACCCCAAACATGTTATCAACGCCCATATGGATGCAATAATTAACTTAACTCCAGTGAGAGGGCATAATTATGAAAAGGTGCAAGATTTCTATGAGAAATTAAGCAAGAATTTCGATGCAATTCAAACTCTGGGAGACGGTGAAAAACTTTCCGGATTTGTTATGACCACTATCAACAAGTTGCCACACATAAAAGCCGACTTGGTTCGAGCAGATGATGACTGGGAAGAATGGTCCATGGAAGTACTATTACTAAATTTGCAAAAGTGGCTTCGACGAAATAAAGTGGAAGATGCGAGCAATCAGAAAGAAACCAGATACAAGAAACCAGAAGGACACTGGTATCAAAAGTCATCCGGACCCCCAAAACCTCACTGTGTTTTTTGTTCGAATAATGAACACTGGAGTGATCAATGCAAAACAGTGAAACGATTAGCAGACCGAAAGAAATTCTTTGCTGAGAAGAATCTGTGTTTTAACTGTGGTCGCACTGGGCACAGGGGAAATCAATGTCGAAGTCGTGGTTGCCTGAAGTGTAAGGCCAGACATCACACAAGCCTGTGTGATAAGAATGAAGATGACCAGGAGAACAAGTTAGTAACTGGATTTACCACTATAACTGAGGAGAAATCGCTTCCAGCCATTGTACCTGTCAAGATAAAGGGACAAACCCTGTGGGCATATCTCGACACTGGCTCAGGTCGAGACTTTATTTCACGCGAGGCTGTAAAGAAACTCAATTTGAATCCAACACATCACGAATCCCACGAGATTGTAACCGTGACTGGCACCTCGACTCAAGCCATGCCTATTTTCCAAACAACCATAAATTCTCTTGATGGGAAAGTACATGAAGATATTGAATTGACCGGTTCCAGACTCCAAAATTTCACCACAGTTAAAAGACCAGATATGAACGAACTCAAGAAGAAATACACCCATATGCAAGACAAAGGATTTTACATGACCAGCGATGGAGAACATCCAATTCATATCATACTCGGTGATGGCACATACAGCAGAATTCGAACTGAGAAAGTTTACAAAGGTAATCCTGGAGATCCCTTGGTGGAAGAGACAACATTCGGATGGGTTGTTCATGGTGGTGAGAATTATTCGAGCGATGCCTGTATGTACACTAGAGAGGTTAACGATTACGAACAGTTATATAGTCTTGATGTTCTCAGAGTTGAAGATCGGGGTGAAAATGACCAAATGCAAGTGCTTGCTGAGTTTCGAGAGAACATAACTAGACAAGATGATGGCAGATACAAAGTCAGCATACCATGGATTCCAGGGAGTAAGTTAACAACCACAAACGAACAGCAAAGCAGAAGACGACTGAGCAACGTGAACAAAAAGTTGGCGAAAGATGAAAACCTGAAGCAAGAGTATGAGAAGATTATCGAGGATCAGTTAGCAAGCGGTGTGATTGAGAAAGCCCCGGACGAGCCATCAGGAGAGCGAGTGTACTACATGCCACATAAGCCAGTCGTAAGGCAAGATGCATCAACTACCAAAGTGCGAATGGTTTTTGACGCGAGCTCCAAACCCCATCCACTGGCATCCAGTATCAATAATTGTATGTTTGGGCCTTCCCTCCAACCGCTGTTTGGGATATCATGGTACGAGCAAGAATGTCGTCAAATCTGCTTCTTGCAGACATTCAGAAAGCTTTCTTGCAGATAGCAATCAAAGAAGAAGACAGAGATGCTTTCAGATTTCTCTTTGATCGCGACGAGAAAGAGGAACATTTTCGGTTCGCGAGAGTTCCATTTGGGGTTGAAGCCAGTCCATTCTTACTTGGTGCGACATTGGAATACCACTACGACCAGCAATCACCAGAATTAGAGGAAACAGTGACTGCCCTTAGAGAAAACACGTATGTGGACAATATTATGCAAACGGGAAGTGACATTGATAAGTTGGAGAAGTTCAAGAAAGAAAGTCAAGTTGTTCTTGAGAGTGCAAGATTACCAATTCACAAGTGGGAGTCGAACATCGAGGCATTAGAGGATGAGAACATGCAAAATCCTAGCAAAATTCTTGGTCATGTATGGGACAAGCGAGCAGATACTCTGGAAATACAAGTACCAGCATTACCGGAGACTAAATCAGTTACGAAACGAAGTATCTTGAGTCAGCTTGGCAAAGTGTACGATCCATTGGGAATAATATCACCCACGATGGCCGAAGGAAAACACATTTATAGAGAGGCTTGTGAAGAGAAAAAAGGATGGAATGCTGAAGTTTCGCCAGAATTGAAGAAACAGTGGCACAAATGGAACAAACAACTAAAGAACGTGGAAGTACCGAGGAGCTTAACAGGGAATTCAAAAGAAACGAAGGCTATAGAACTCCACGTGTTCGCCGACGCAAGTAACCTCGCGTGTTCGGCAGTAACCATAGCGGTAGTTGAACATTCTTCTGGAACGATCAAAGGGTTGCTTACATCGAAATCCCGGATTTCAAAAAGAAACACGTCGATACCCAGACTCGAACTCGTAGGAGCTCACATGGCTGCGAACATGGCGAAGAATTTACATAATGCTCTTAAACGACAACCTATCAAGACCATCGTGATCTGGTTAAATAGCATGGTGGTACTTTACTGGTTAACCAATCCAGGGAAACCTTGGAAGACGTTTGTTTCAAACCGAATCAAGAAGATAGCTGAGATAACCAGCGAGCTCGGTATCGTTTGGAAGTATTGCCCGTCAAAAAAGAATCTCGCAGATCTAGGCAGCAGAGGAGCAACCATGGAAAGATTGCAAAACGGAAGCTGGTTCAACGGTCCAGATTGGTTATTAGAAAAAGAACAATGGCCAGAACAACCAATTTTAAGAGTAACTACATCTGTCAGTCAAGAATGCAAACCGATTAAAGAGCAAGCACTGTTTACGAAAGAACGAGAGCCAGACGAATGGGACGCTTTGCTAGAAAGAAATACATACTGGCGTACACTGCGAGTAACAGCGTGGGTGTTGAGATTTCTAAACAACTGTTTGGCAAAAGTTCGTCGAAACCAGAAACAGTCGGGACCTCTTGTAAGCGAAGAAATTAGTGTCGCAAGATACGCTTGGATAAGAAGAGTACAACAAAGTGTCAACCCTGAATTACAAGCGCCTGGATGGAGAATCGTTGAAGACAAAGTAACGAAAGTTCTCAAGTGTAAAGGAAGAGTAAATGGATACGAGCCAATATACCTTGACGGAGGACTGTTCGTAGAAAAGCTAATAGCACACACACACAGCAAGATCAAGCATTTTGGTGTCGCAAATACCATGGCTGCGTTGAGAGAACAATGGTGGATACCACAACTTAGATCAAAGGTGAAAAAAATAATCAACAGTTGCAATATCTGCAAGCTGTATTCCACGAAGCCCTATGGGTCACCGCTAACGAGCAACATGCCCAGCTTTAGAACCGAAGCTAGCGAACCATTCGAAGTCACCGCACTGCATGAAAAGCGCCGTATTCCAAGGTATTCACATGTGAATACGGGTGTGAATAAAACACATATTGCAAGCGTATTCCGACATGGAATATTAGTGTGAATACGGCATCGTATTCTTCAGTATTCTAAGTGTGAATACGCCGTGAATATGCCGCGTATTCTGACCAATATTCACACTTGGAATATCTCACTTCTCACTTAATCCGTGTTTCCACAAAATAAATTCATCAGCTGACATTTTTAAACTTTATTTTGAATGCTGAAAAATTGAAGTGGAATTTTATAAATAATTTGGCGCAAAAACCAAAAAGCGCGCTTTCGAGTTTAATAAACATTGAACGAGGAGATCGTGCGTTTGTGGCTGTAAGAAATCTTTTTGGCGCTTATAAATAAGGGAAGAGAGTGAAGGATGCCAAGGGCTTGGTAAAGTCTGGAAACTCTGGTCGCAGTTAAAGAGCATGCCGGCGAGTATTTGTATGCTACGATTCCCACGAAGTCTGATGAAGAAAATGCGCGAAATAGAAATGAGATTGCATGGCGCGATTTCCACAGCACCTTATGTTCGCTAATACGTGTAAAATGATAACGAATATTAACCGTATTTCAAGGATTTTTTATTGTTCAAAACCGAAAACGCATATACTGTTTGTGCTTAAGGGACCTCTTCGGTGAGTGACTAAATATCGTGCAGTTGAATTCAATAGCCGGCCTATAGACTATACCTATGACCATGTTGGGAGTAATCTCAACATTTTATTAACAAATTACCTGGTGATAAGAGGTTAATGGGTTATGCGTTCGCAGCCTGTGCGAATGTTTAGGCATTTATTGTCCCTCAAGTCTGTCCATTAAGGAAAATATCAATATGAACAAACATGCATAATCTTTAGGTTGCCATGTTAATTTGCATAGCAGTCATACACATTGCAATGGTAGGTTTATCCACAGTTAATGTGGTTTATCAAGGTTGATCAAATGCAATACTAAGATTTCAGTCAATTATTTAAATTTTATACAGTCCTTAACAGATCATGTACATGTGATGGGTTACAACATTTCACATTTTATAAAATATTATTGGAACATCACAAATTGTTCAAAAATATTTAGCAAAAACACAGCCTATCATGAACTTCTACTAAGCTGTTATGATTTTCAATCTTTCATCAGCTGATTGTTAATTTATAAGCAATGTTGTTTTAGTACCGGTATATATGAAACATTGCTCCTGGAGTATGTCAGAAATTATACTTAATAGTAAATTGTTGAGCAAAGCAAGTGATGTTTTTTCACTTGGTAAGATATTAAAAACTATAGGGGAGCAGATAATGAATCAGGAACTTCTTTCACTGGGTGAAAAATCCTCTTCATCTTTAGCAAAGTTAAGGCCAACTCTTTTGGGAATTTTCAATCTTGCAACCCCTGATGGCTAAAAACAATTAAAACCACCTTAAAGCAATTATTGAACAAAATACATAGCAAACTTTCTTAAGCTATAATAGATTATTATGGTATATTCTTTAAGTATTGTGATTATAATTTATGTACGGAAAAGTAATTGCAAACAAATCAGTAAACAGTCTCAGTTATAAATTATGATGAGGGCAATGTTAAAAGGCTTCACTTAAAAACACAGTCTAGCATGAACTTCTAAGCTGTTAAGATTTCTGTCTTTGGGCAGCTGGTTGTTAAGATTCCTATCTTTTGGCAACCAGTTCAATAGCTATTCTGTGGTAAATATTAGTGTAAATATAATTCATATATGCTAAAAGGAAAAATATAGGCCATTATTTTGTTAAAAAATATGTATTATATATAACTAAAAAACACAGTCTGGCTTTGATTTCTAAGCTGTTAAGATTTCTGTCTTTGGGCAGCTGATTGTTAAAACTCATTGCCGTCCGGTCGTAAACGACGCACGCAGATAATTTCGATTTTATCTGCAAGTATTTTATCAAATCAACTAGAAATTGTATTATCTTAAAGCTAAAACATTTATCTATTTGTATAAGTTTAGTTCATTTCAATAGCTTTCCTATAAGCCAAGATATTAATTGCCGATCTTGTACTTTTGAAATTGAATTTTGGAGAAGCGAAAATACGCAAAGCCTTCCAGAAATCTCGCCTAAAAACCTCCAAATGTTTGTAGCTTACATTGTGATCAATATTTCCATCTATTTTGCTTGAAATACAGTCGTTTTGGCGATTTGTAGTGGTATTTCCAACAAACGTGTTTACAAACGGAAAACCCGAAAATTTGCATATAATTATCACCATATTGGCGAAAATTTGACAAAAAATCGGAAAAATTTCGCTCCAAAAAGGCCGAATATATGTCTTCTAGGGACAATTTTACCCCAGAAATCGATTTCCGGGCTTATTTTACCCTAGGGGGTAGGCATCATTGAGTTTTTGACACCTTTCACCTCACGCGACAACCGCATGTGCGTGCGCTGAGCAACGCGTCTCGCTACAAACAATAACAAATCAGAAAAATCGATATTTTTCGAGTTTTTCTGCCCATCCTGACTTAAAAACTATCAGAAAAGATAAATAAAGCATTTCTAGTTTATCTATAACGGTTAAAATACGAAAGGATGAAAAATAACGAAATTCCAAAGGCGAGCTATATTTCCGGTTGTCATCACTTTGTAATTTGATATGATTTTGACAGCTGCACGGCGGTGTCAGGTTAACAGAAATATTTATTAATTTCCGGATTATAACAGAAACGATGGGGTTATAGTACTTTTCTCAAGCTATAATTTGGTGGTATTTTTGTGTTTTTTGCTCGCGCATTCGCGGAGTTATTAGACATTAAAAAAGTAGGACTTCTAAGTCCTAAATTAATCAGACCGGACGGGAATGAGTTAAGATTTCAATCTTTTGGCAATCAATCATTAGCTATTCTGTGACAATTATATAACAATATATATCTATAATATATAAATTTTGCCTAAAATATAAAAAACCCTCATGAAATGCACCAATGCACCTCATTTCAATGCATCTTGAAACGTCTATCTAAGGGTTGTGTTATGTTAAAGTTATGATTACAGCAGCTTTCTGAATATTTGTGGTAGGTAAGAAAGTAATGTCCCTTTTCAGTATTGGCAAACTTTTAAATTTTGTTTGTATTGAGTATGGCTTTGAAATGGCAAACATTTGTACCTACTATAATTAGTGTGTGATGGAGGTAGGATTGATGAAAACCATCATACAATTTATTTATTTACAAGCAGGTACAGTTAGCTGTGTACAAATTAGCTACAATAAACACAATCGTAATCTATTTATATTAATAAAAAAAAAAAGTGATGAGCCCAGCCGTAAAAGCGTTGGCCTCGCACTTGTTGTGTTGTGTTGTTTCAGGACTATAGTATGACATAACTCTTGTTATTATTAAATAACTTACCTGATTTTAGCGCCGCCACAAGAATTATTTTGGGGCATCGCGAACATCTTTAACAATTCAAAGTTGAACAGCTTGAACTTCTGTTGAAACCACGCATTTATATATAAGCGCCCTGGTTGAAACCAATTGACATTTGTGCCATGTTATCGTTTTGTAAACAAAGGGAACTGGACAACTTTTGCGAGGAATCATTTAAAGACATTTATTTGTTATTGTTATACGACCCACTGAGCTATATAATAATTCCTGGAGGACCGGTTCTTGACCAGAAAGTGAAGCAAAAAACATGGCGGATTTCGGCGTTTGCTGACGCCACTTGGTTCCTTTTGCTCATGGTAGATACCACTGACATACCGCGATACAAAGTGAGAAATTGAGTCCGTCTCCCTCCTGGATTTTATGAAAATATTTTCAGCTTTCCGTATATATTTTTTGTTTTTCATATAAAATGGATAAAAGTGTTTCTCTTTTCCCCTGTTCAACAAATGGAAAGGACACATAGCTTCGTGCTCTGCGTCTGACGTTGTGAATGGCGTAATTCACTTATCGGTAAGGTGAATTTTCTCAATTTGCTCTTATTTTATAACATCCAGGTAACTGAGGTAAGCCGTTTTCAACTTTTTTTACTGTAAACAATTTCGTATTTGGCCTTTCGAGTTGGACTATAGTATAAACTGGGTACCAAAGCCTCTGAAACAATAAATCCATCAAAACGTGTGGTACAAACAATAAATGCAATGTTATATACCCAAATTTTATCATTTTTTCTTAACTTGTGTGGGGAAAAAATTATATTCCTGGCAGTGTCAATCTTTTGAGTTTGGTCTATGTTGTTTTCATGATAGCAAACATCAATGCTAATAGGTAAACCATTCCCCCAGTGAGTCTACCATAGTCCCTCTTCTATTTATCCCACCCAGCATAAATTAACATGATCTGATGGTGCTAATACAAAATAATAAGATGCTGTAAACAGTGTAAATTAATTCCAACCTCTGATAGTGAGCTCTGTTAAAGCCTAGTTAATATATTATCTTGTTTAACTTGTCAAATCCAAAGTAAAATGATCAATTATCATGGCTTTTAATTTATTTTTTAGCTTCTTGCACCTTGGGAATAAATCTTGATCATATCTCCATTTTTATTTTTAGGATGAAGTTCATGCATTTTATGACTGTGCATTGTTGTTCTTCATTTCCATGTTATCTGATTTTGTTGTTGGCTGGTGGTTATACCATTTGTCATATTTATTAATTAATGAAATAAATATAAACATGCATTGACTGAGCAGTGTGTCTTCAATCTGCAGCAACTTTTGCTGTGTATTTTCTGTGTATGGTATCAACCTCCAAGAGGGCTATATTCAGGCTAATCAGTGGAGCCTATGGAAGGATAAATGTTATTCTTTACTATGACCAGGGGTCCAGGGATGCAATTAGAGAGTGCTGAAAACAGGTTTATTAAGGTACAAGTTGATGACTTGAATGAAAAGTATATTATGCAAATATGATTCTTGGTTGAAACTATATTCCTGCACTTAGTATTCGTCAGCTGCGCAGCATTTTGCCTGAGCTATGGCCTCTGTTTCTTTGGATTTTGGATTGTGCATAGATATGAAGTCTTGAAGACAGCATCACATACTGAATACTGATTACATACTTCCTGCGAAATTCATCAGTTTAGGGTTTAGTAAAGTCAAATTGTTGCCTATAAATTCCTAGTTGTCTTGCGAGGATAGTGCCAAGACATTCAAACATTTGTAAACTTTCATATTGGAATGTATAAATAACAAAATATTATTACGAAAATAAAATAATAACCTGTCAGTTCGTGTCAGTATTAAAATCTTTAGTTTGTCCACATTTTTCGATATTTAAATATATATTTGCTCCCGCACTGGCAAAAACAGCGTGTACGTATGACTTGTATTCATCTTAAAATAAAACTTTATTAGATGTCAGTGCGAAAAATATCAAAAAAACAACCAAAAAATATTTCAAAAACAAACAAGATTTCACGGCAAAAAAAATATAAAAACCAGGGGGGAGAATTGTTATTTACAAAAACCAGGGGGGAGAATACTGCTGTAGCGGGCTCATTATTGAGCCTGGTCAGTGGTAAATACTATGGCCAAAAGGAACCAAGTGGCGTCAGCAGAGCTTCTGCGGTTGCGCAGAAGGGCGAAGTCCGCCATGTTTTTTGCTTCACTTTTTGAGAAAAAAACATTAGGAGCCGGTCCTCCAGGAATTATTATATAGCTCAGTGTATACGACCTCCGAATTTCGCCATTTATTCGCAATTTCGCCGCAATTCCTTGGCGCAAAAATTGTCACTAACATGTCGAAGAGGAAATTTCCCAAAGGAAATTTCCTACGATTTCCCAACACTGAACTGTATATATTACGGATGCTTTTGACGATACAGAATCATCAACTTTCTACCCATGTGTTTACGTATCCAAGCAAAAATAAAAGTATTTTTTTATATATAACTTCTTTTACACAGGTAATTAAAGAAATTGATGGATATTTCTCTTTTTATACAGCTTTTTTACGACTTACGAGGCTACTCAGCGCTCATCGACTGAGGATATACGATACTCGACATCCCTGCGGCAGCAAAAAAATTAATCAAATAAAAATCATCGTGCGTTTGGTAACATTTATTGTCTTTATTGTCTGTCGCCTAAACAAATCAAGTGCAATTTCAATTTGTGACCGTGATGAGAAGAAATGCTGGATAACAGTTGACACCGGCATTGAACTGAAACAACCTTTGCCTATTCCGTGGTATATAAACGCATTTCCTGCAATATTTACACAATATAACTCGTTGATTACCCGTATTCATGCGTACAATCACATTTTCTATGCCGAAGTGTGAATACTAGGTCTTGAAAAATATTCACAGAGTATTCGAAGGTATTCTAGGTCAGAATACGCGGTGTGTTTTATTCACAGGTATTCACATCGGAATACCCCCAATATTCCGAGGATATTCACAGTGAATATCTGTGAATACGTGTGAATATGGACCATATTCGAACTCATATTCGCACGTATTCACCTGTGAATACGCGGTTTTTCACGCAGTGCGGCGTCGACTACGCCGGCCCGTTAAAATACAAGATCAGTAAGAGAGAAGAAGGAAAGTGCTACGTATTAATCTTCACGTGTGCGGCGTCTCGAGCGATCCACCTGGAACTAACCAAAAGCCAAGAAGCCGAGGAATTCCAACGAAAGCTCAACCAATTCATCGCTCGGAGAGGAAGACCACGGTTGCTGATATCTGACAATGCAGCGACATTCAAAACGACAGCGAAACTAATTAAAGCCATTCGAAAGAGTGAGAAATTGCACGACTTCCTAGCAGCACAAGGTATACACTGGAGATTCAACCTCGCTAAATCCCCTTGGTGGGGAGGTATCTATGAAAGGTTGATACGGGAAATAAAGAAGACCCTTTATAAGACTCTTGGACGAACGCACCTTTCATTCGAGAATTTGGAAATGGTCCTCATGGACATAGAAATTAATATGAACAATCGTCCATTAACTTATGTCGAAAGCGAAAGTGGGGAGGAAGAAGTACTAACGCCAAATGTTCTCATTCGAGGGAAAAACACTTATCTCATTAATGACGTAGAGAATGACGATGATGAGCTTACGAAGATGCAAAGGAGAATCGCCAAGGCAAAGAACAATGCTTGGAAAAGATGGCAACGAGAGTACATACACAGTTTAATGGAAAGTCAAAGAGTAAACGGAAAACCAGTTAACGCGCCAGAAGTCGGAGAAGTAGTTTTAGTCGCGGGAGAAGAAAAGAACAGAAGCGAATGGAAGAAAGGAAGGGTAGTGCGACAAGTCAAAGGAAAGGACGGAGTAGTACGAGGTGTAGTGCTTTTACACAAAGGACATACTATCGAACGACCGTTACAGTTGGTGTGTCCACTCGAAATTCGTTGCACAACGAAAATAGAACAAAGGAAGAACGAGAACAAGCAGACGGTAGAAAAGGAAAAGCAGAAACGGGGAGCAGCTATTGAAGCAAGAAAGAAAATACGCGAACTGGCAGAAACCGAGGATGCAAACTGAACAGAGAGCCTCGCAGAGATAAGTAAATGAGGAACACTTCATATTGAGTTGACATTATAAAAATTGACTAAATTTTTAGGGGAGTTGTATACTAAATGCATGAATAACTTCTAATTAAAAGCTGGGCGTGGAAAATGTCATGCGTCAAGTTAATTAGATAACAATAGAACTGAGAACACACATAAAAATAGAGAAAAAGGAGTGAGACATTCAAGAAATCAGTGAGCAATCGTGAGGAAATTTTTGGTTTTATGTAAAGTTAATTATAAACGATAGGTATACCATTGTGTGAGTTTATGAGTTCGGTATAGTTACTACTCCATAGTATGGTTACTCTGACCACTACCAAAGCTTCATACTGGGCCAACGCACGGTCCTTTGGCCATGTTTAAAATAGCCTCGTGTAAAGAATGTACTGTGCTACCATTAGGTTTTATGGGACATGTAAGGTTATTGGGGCAAGCCTGAGCGAGCTCCATAGTTTGGTGGCTAACCGAGCTCAAGCGCGATGCATTATGGTGCGTACGTGCGTATGTACATGGAACTTGTTTTTTCAGTGATTTAAATCCTACCTGTCTTTCGCCATGCACCGGCTATTTTGAAAACATTCAGTTCTACTGCTATAAAGTGATTATGCTATTGATTATAGCAATAAAGTGATTGCTATAAAGTGATTTGTCAAGACTACAGTACAGATATTTTTGTTTCTACTTTAATCAATTTCTGAGTGATCAATACAAAGCCCGGTGCTCTTGGTCTCTAAGAGTATGATTATGGACCTTATTGCAAATATTTACAACCTTGCATGTAAATATGTTTCTACTTTTGAAATTCTGATGGAAAGCCCGATTTCAATTTGATTAGGGCTGAATATTTCCAATTTTGTATTTGCCTGGTGGGGCTGGGATTTTTGTACCTCGGATTTTCGAATATTCACCCTCGGATTCTGGAAATTCCGGATTTTAATAAGTGTCTTTATGCAGGTTGTACACTGAGAACAGGACTTAAGGCAGACGTAAAAAATGATCAAAGGAGCTTTTAAGAGGACAATTAATTTATCTTATAATTTGAATGTTGTGTATTATAGAACCCACAAAGTGCGTAAACACAAGTGAATCGAATCAAATATGATTATTCCTATGTTGAATGAAACCAAATAACTTTTAAATAACTAATTTCAAAGAAATCGAAGCCATTTGGATTAAAATGTTTGTAAAACACTCAAAAGCTATCAGACCACCTAATTCTTCGCGTAATCTGAGCAATAATTTCATTGCTCTATTCCATATGATCTCCTCAGCCGTAGCTGAAGACAAAGAAACCGGCTTAATTGCGGGGGACCTTAACTGTAATTATAACAATCTAACTGATGAAAGAGAACTGAAAGATATGTTCAAGCTGAATGGTCTGAAACAATTATAAGAAACTGCCACAAGAACAACTGAATCTTCCGCGACATTAATTGTGCTTATAATTATTTACAACGCACGAACAATTCATTTCAAATAGCTTTGTCTACGAATATGGAATAAGTGATCACGATCTAACAGAATAATAAGAAAGATGAACTGTAAGAAATATGAACAAAGAAAACATGTTACACGGAATTACAAACATTTCTGTAAAGAAAGCTATAATGACGATCTGAGATCTATTCCGTGCAACTTCGCTTTAAACATGGGGACCTAAATAACTCGTGGAATTGCCTTAAGAATCTACCGAGGGTGACCAACATGCCCCAATGATTGAAAAGAAAATATCTGGAAAAATATGCCCTTGGCTAACTGCATGAATTAAAAATGCTATTCACCAGCGAGAATACATGAAGAGATCAGGTCATCTCAGACAGAGCTACTGTTGCTAATGCATTCTCTTCTGAGACTGGAAAATTTAATTTGGAAGGCATATTATTTTCGTGACCTGACACTTAAAGTTAACCCTCTGATGAAAAAGTTTTGCTTTCAAAACGCCGAAGGAGCTGATCAGATCGCGGTGCCGCTTACTAAATTAATAAACCGTAGTTTGCACTCTGGCATATTTCCCACTTCAGAAAATGGAAGCTATAATATAAAAATGGATCAAAATCGCTGCTTAATTGACAACTACCGCCCAATCTCAGTGTCGATGCATGTCTACGTTTACTTGCTTGACACTAGCCTGCATGGCAGGCGGTCCCTGAAATCGGGCAAGGCGAGGACGGCGAAAGACCGCCTGCCGGGTTTGGCTATGTATTTTAGAAACCCCGTCCACTGGTGGACGGGAATTGATGATTGGCTGCGAGTCTAATCCGCTGTCAATCACGAGTAAATATTAATTGTTAATTTGTAACGTTTAAATTTGTAGGCGTCTGGTGTTGGCGGAATTTATTGTCGATTGCGTTCGCTCCGCTCTTCTAAAACTAAATAATTTTCGAAAGTCGAAACGCGAACTGATTCTTAAACGCAAGCAAAAGATAGCGTTAAAGATTTACTCCTTGGGAAGCATGTTTTAGCCGTTCTACCTAATAGTTATGATACCGTTCTACCTTACTATAGTTTAATACATTACGTGGAAGAAAATGTTGGCGGATATAAATATAAAGCTGAGCGTAGTAGCGTTCTTGTTATTTTATCTTCACGCTGTATTACTGTATAGGAGATCAAATTATTCAAATAGGCGAAATGCTTTCGATGGAAACGTTTCAGAAGTCGCCAAGTCTCTACAGTACCGCAATATGCAATATATTTATACGATCGCGGCTAGCGCATACCTATTTACATTGAGAATTTAATTCTTTCAACTATTGAGGCTTTAGGATTCTCATATACTATTTTCAATGCCAGGAAAATTCACTGGGGAAAAAGAATTACTGATACACTCTGACACACACTGTGTATTTATAAATATATAAATAATATATGATGTACAAATTCTTTGACGATAAATAAACACGACGGAGTCAGACATCTATTCTCAGTATTCTGTCGCCTCATACACAAACAACGACAGTGGCATTTACATTTTCCGCGCAGGCTCTTCTACCTCTTGTCCTGGTTTAAACGTTCTTTGGTGTTTCCTTTGAAATCTTAAATAATTATATTAATATATCGAAAAACCAGACTTCGAATCATAAATAAACATACAGCCGGAAAATAATATATCCCAGTTATTAGTTATTGCAGTTTTGTTATTATAATATTAACTGCTCGTGGATTGGCTAATTGCGCTGGGACTGAAAAGGGGCGGTTGACAAAAAACATAGCCAAACCCGGCAGGCGGTCTTTCGCCGTCCTCGCCTTGCCCGATTTCAGGGACCGCCTGCCATGCAGGCTAGCTTGACACCGGCAGGATCATATAAACAACACTTCGTACGCGTTAATACAAAATCGCTCAATCGTTATTCGTTTATTAAACGGTTATAATGTATTACGGTACAAAAAACGTTGTGGCTTTTTAGCACAAAATGTCTTGTTCTTGTAAACTGTTCAGACTTCGATAAGAGCTTTGTCAATACTGAGATGTTCTTGTTCAAAACTAACTTATAGCGGTCTAATAGTAATTAATTCTAATATATTACACGTGTTATGAGCACGTACTAAAGAAGTCAAAGTCCACACGTGAAATAACTATCCTAAATTTACATATTTAAATAAAAACAATTTAAGATTTATTTTTGGCACTAACACTCAGTTTTACACATATTTTTAAAAGTTATTAACCAGTATGGATTTAGACCCAAAGATCAAAAAGGCATGCTGTTACAATATTGGTTGATGACATAAGTATGGCAATGATTAGAGGAATGGCAACCGAAGCTGTATTCCTAGACCTGCGAAAAGCTTTTGACACGGTACACCTCTCGTGTCTTCTTGAAAAGCTTCCTGTATATGGCATTGAGGGCTATGAACTGTTACGGTTCCAAGATTACTTATTCAAGAATTTAACCAATGCATTGGTGGCTCGCTTACAACACAACGCCACAACGAATATCAATTTACCTGTGTCGACAAACGAAGACCCGCAACCAGCGCCTACTGTATCGCCAACTTTGTCTACGGAACAACAACCACTTTCAGAAATGCAGCAGGCGCAAATTCAGTCGATCGTCTCTAGGTGTGTTGAACAAACAGCGACCGAGATAGCGTCCAACGCAGCCCGGGCTACCGTCCAAGCAGTGTTAAACTCGACGTCTTGTGCCAGTGAGAGCAACGCGGCCAACAACAGAATTCCAGTCGTCCCAGCCGAAAGCGACGCGCACGAAGGCGATAATAGACAGATTTAGATAACACAACGCGAGCTCTAAGACGACGCGAGGATTGCGTAAGATGGTGTGGACGCGCGAAAATGCTTTTTGGTTTTGTTTGCGACGTCTTGTTTGAGTTTAGGACGGAAAATCAGCATTTTCACGTCGTGAACAGGACGTCACTGTTTTCGTTTGGTCTTTTTGTCAAAAAGGTAAGTTTACTGAATTAAATTACTTTTAGGTTTAGATAGGGTTGTACTATACTCGCTTTAAAAAACTTTGTGATGTTTTCTTTTGATAAATAAGATATTTTTGTATTTTTCACGAACTGACTGCAAAATAAATATATGTACATCGTGTGGCGATGAAAATATATTTATTAATAAGCATACAAACGGCAATATATTATTATTAACTATTTATTTTTTGAAAATAACGATTATAGATATCAATTTGCTATCATTTGTAAATCAAAAAACGTTCGTGTTTAATGTGTTTTCCCACTTTAATAACATTTAAATGATTTGTGCCTTATTTACGCTTTTGAGCATTGAATTGAATTCATTGTTATGATTAATGATGCAGGGTTTTCTCGTAGAGTTAAACATTCATTGACATTATCGCCAGTACAACATAATTTTTATGATTTTCAAGTTATTTGCGTGTTTCACAGTGTGAACATGCATCATTTTTTTCATTTTAAATAGTTTTTAAAGTTTTTCGTTATGGCCGAGGACAAGGCAGAAAACTGCACCAAAAAAAGGTTAGCCACAGAATTAATGTAGCTATTCTCATTATTAAAAGGTAAAAATTCTACATTGATTTTGGTTTTCTTGCTTAGACGTGTGCTCGTGTGGAACAAGGAAAAATATTTGCTCCTTTTAAAAGAAATGGCTGCTGAAGGTGTGCTTCAGCACAAAGCAAAATCAAGGGAGAGGGGCACAAGCTGGCTCAATGTGGCAAACAAAATGGCACCTAGTTTTCCAAATGTTGAAACTACCTCACGGGCAGTAAGAGATAGATTTAAGACATTGGAAAGAAAGCATAAGTTCAAGAATGCAGAGGAAGAGAGAGGAACTGGTCTGGGTGGGGATGAATTGACAGAGGAAGAGGAGTTGTTAGAAGAGCTTATTGAAATTGGTGAGGAAACTGAGAAAAGAGTTGAAGAAGAGAATGAAGAAAAGAAAGCTTCAGTGGAAAGAGAAAGGGGGCAGGCATTGGAAATAAGGCAGAGAGCAATGGAACGGATTGGGGAAACAAGGAAACGGGAACAAGAAACAGAAGAAAAAATAAAAAAAAGAAGAAAGTCAGGAGAAACATTTGATTGGTTGAAAGAGAAAGCTGCCATGGATAGAAAGTTAAAAGAGGAAGAACTGAAAGAAAGAAGGGAAGAAAGGGAGAGCCAAAAAGAAGAAAGGGAGAGCCAAAAAGAAGAAAGAGTTATGTTTGTCCAACAGTTGAAGACAATGCAGGAAACAAATATCTCACAGCTGACACAATTCATGCACCAACAAGATCAACAGCAACATCAACAACAACAGCAATTCCACATGATGCAACAACAAATGTTAGCAATGTTCCAACATCAGCAACAACAAACACAGCTTTTAATGGATCTTTTAAAAAATGAGAAAAAATAAAGCATGTACATTGCAGCATGTAATTGATTATATATTTGTTAAACATCATAATCTAATTTTAACATAATAACATTTATTAATTGTATATTTTTACTGTATATATTTCTTTATTTATTTACAAAATATGAATTGATTAAATTTAAACCAATTCATAATTAACATTTGATATAATTTTATATGACATTGAGTTGTTAAAATTGAAACAGGAATCTGAAATATTTCAGGTATTTATTTATATTATAACTTTTGCCAAAATTGTAAATGTTGTAAGAAAGTCACCAAAAGTATTCATTCAAAGAAGGTTGTAAAAGTTCAAAATGAGTTGACACAATGTTACCATACAAACAACTACGAGCATTCTCAAGCAGGGCACAAACTACATATGTTTTGCCAATAGCACTCAAATGAATCTTCATTTGACGTTTAAAATCCACAAAACTAAAATACTTTGTGATGTTTCCAAACATCCACTCCACGCTAATTCTCACCTCACTCATCGCTTTGTTGTAAGCTGCCATCTCTGGTGTCAGATGTGCTTCCTTGAAGGGTCCTTGTAGGTGCACACCCAATGGATAGGCCGGATCACCATAGATACACAGTGGCTCATCAATCATCATTGTGGAAAGCAACACGACGTAAATTGGTCAAGACACCAGACTCATGCAGCATTGTGCTATCGTGACGCCTTCCCTCATATGGACCAGACAGATTACAAATTAAACCATTTGGGATAACAATACTTTGAAATTTTATAGCATGTATCCGCTTGTGGCCATTATAAACATAACGCTGATGGTACTTAGGTCTTGCTATTGGTCTCACAGTGCCATCCACAAATCCAAAGCAGTTCCGCAAAGGTGCACCATGCACATGGACTGCCTGGGCATAGTTGTAAAGGTTGTCAGGGGAAAGAAAATGTTGATCCCAACTTTGCAAGCGATGGTGATGAGCTTCATAAACCAAATCCAAAACTTGGCTAAAGATTAAACATAACTCAGGTGGACTGCGACCAAACCGATATGCCATGTCTGTGAACCGACAGGGATAAGCCAGTCTTTTCAATAGAATGAACAATCCTTCCAAGCCACTACAGACCGTACCTTGTCGACAAGTAATTTCCTCTGGTATATTTAAACAAGCCATAAGATACTCAACATCATTTTTCTTAAATCGTAGCTCTGTCTCACATTCAACTTCACTCCAGCTATCAAAATTAAAAGCGTCAAATTTCCAATATGGGTAAAGAGGCTTTGATTGATTGTAATCGTATAGCAATGCGAACTCTTCGCCGTCGATCACGTTTTCATCGTAAGCTAAAACTAAAGCATCCCGTACAGCTTGAAGTCCAAGCGCCATTGTAAACATATATATCTTTATGACACAGTATAAAGACATACAGTAGTGTAACTCCGTGCAAAATGCTGATTATTGCGTGTACCCACCTTTTTTACAATGAGCTTTTGAAATTAGTAAACTGCGCATGTGCAGCAAGTGAATAGAAGCATGCACCCCCCTGACTGAACATTCAAATTTCAAAAATGGCGGCTTCTTCACGATGAATACAAGGAAAAAAGCATCGCTAGAACGCTACCGAATCAGCTCATAATTATCCGATCTTGCACTAATAATTTTTCCGCTGATAATGGCTGTGAAAATATTGTAGTTGGGAAATATTTACTGGTTAATTGTGCAAGCATCTTCGCGTTTTGGATTCCGTAGGAGTGGAACTCTTTGCCGCCTTCGATAAAATGTGAGACAAAGAAGTATTCAAATTGGCGGAGTTGAGCAACAAATAATCAACTCGAAATAATTGTATATTTAAATTCAGGTAAATTGAATGTGATTTAAAAATATTGACAATCTGGATGTGAGAATCCAGTTATTTACAAATATTAAATTATATATACTATATATATTAAATTATAAATATTAAAAAATATAAATATTAATAGAACAAATATTAATATTAAATTAAATTATTTAATGCATTTGTGTTCAAGGTTTCAATATCGGGTGAATACAATAATTGGATATGCATTCCTGATTTAAAGGTGAGAGACCTTAAAATATTTTCTGTTCTTTTTTCCTTTCTTTCGTCGTTTTAATTCCCGATTTCCAAATTTCAGGACATAAAATATGCGCATCCTCACAAACAGCTTGAGCATGAATTCGCTTGGGAAATGTGGACATTCTTGCAATGAAATTCTTGGCAGAATCGAGACAAAATTTGGAACAGTCAGACCACCAAATGGCTATTCATAATTTTCGTACGATGGAAAATTGTGATTGAAACATAAATTTGGACATGTATGCTGTTTCCGAAACCAAAATCTATTGTACTATTCAGTTGCTCACATTTGATCTTGATACGATTTTGTAAACTTGATTCTTCCTGGGCCAAAGCTGTCTTAAACACAGAATACACGTAACATGGTTAATGTATTTTTAGATTAGGGTATGTAATTTTAATTATCAACCACCAAAATACATTGTATTCAAATATACACATCCATTTATTATTTAAAAAAATTTAACTACATTAATTGTTTTATCAAACTTTTACTACTATTTATGTATGAATTATCAAAGTTCCCCTTTCCCAGTGTTTCATTGGTCAAGAGCAAATCATTTGAGAGTGCATGACCAAATTAGGCTTTTAATTTACCCTTGCAATACCATCATTTAAGTCAATATAATTAGAATAAAATATTTCCTTTTATTTTTTTCCAGTATCCACACATGTTAATCAAATCTTTCAACTTTAGGCCTCCTTTATATGACCCCAGGTTGACTTGCTAGCCCGGGTCAACTAATCTACGAATAAATAAATTTGAGTACTCTATATAGGTATAGTAAAAATACTGGATCTCATTATAGGTTAAAATCTTCTTTCAATGCTCTCTTGAATAGCATGAAACTGTCAGTAGCTCTAATGTCATATGGTAGTTTGTTAAATTGTGGTGAAGTGCCCCATTATAATAAAAAGCTGATTAAATTGCTGACCCGGGTTGGCAAAAATTGTCCTCAACCCGGGTTAATGTCAACAGAAAGAAAAAATGACCACATGCTGCAAGCTGAACCGGGTTAAAAATCAACCCGGGCTCATGTAAATGGGCCCCTAGTGGGTTAACTTACAGGATAAATGTCACAAATTTCCCCAATGTCGAGACCCTCCAGATCTTAGTTATTGTTGATTTTATTGCGGAAAAACCAACAACTGTGAGTACTCGTACTACTGCCATGCTTTCATATAAAATACATAAAATGAAACTTTAGGGCAGTAATTGTCTTTAAAGTTAGTAGAGCATTTTGCCAGGTGATCACTATGTTGTAGCTACTTCTTTAGTTCTTCAGGATGAATGAGTAACATCTAATACCATTCCCATACACTTATACTAAAATATAGTCATTATTCACACCCAACAAGTTATAAAATATTGTTTTTTTCATCTGCTCCACTGATCTACTGACTCTACTCTAACTCCTCACACTATTCATTTCAACAAACACCCGTCAATTGTACAGCTTTAATTTCCTTTAAATCCATCCGTGTTTTGTGGGTTGTTCCCCAATATCCATCTGAAGATGTACGGGTCATTAACTTATCGTACGATTCTTTTCTTCTTTATATGCAGGTTGCAGGCGCTATAATAAAAGCACAATTTTGCTGAAAGCATCGCCCGCCATTTTGAAATTGAATTCGGGGGGGAGCATACCTCAAGTCACTTGCCGCACATGCGCTTTAGGGTTTCAGAATGAGGAATTTGTTTGGCAAAAGTTACATGAAGTATTACGTAATAGAAACAAAGTTAACAAACAAGCTAGCTATAGAATATTTTGAATAGAATAGTCTAAAAGAAAAGAATATTTTGAACTTTGGAACAGGATAAATTACTTGAAACCGAGAGACTTTAATTAATATTGTTTATTTGTTTGGTAGATAATCAGTCTAATAAATATCGCGTTTTTTTAGACCCTTTCATGTTTGGGAATTCAATATTCTCTTTCCAAAACTTAATTTTTAGAACTGCCCATTTTAGGTTTTAGAACTACCCATTCTTCAATTAGAACTGCCCATTTTGGAAAATGGGAGGCCTTAGGATGACCCCTGGTACGTCGTCTTGTTTCATCTAAATCACTTGTAATCGATACGAACCGAAATGTCAACGGCGTTGCGACCCAGGCTGCTCACGCAATCCTCGCGTCGTCTTAGAGCTCGCGTCGTGTTATCTAAATCTGTCTAATTTGGTGACATTCAAACGTTACTTTTCACCTGCTCCTAATCCGGAGACATTCGTTGGTAAAATATTTTAGGCCTGTGCAATTAATCAAAGACTTCTTTCGATCGAGTAAAATAGTATGCACAATAACAAAATGTATAAGTTATAAGTCGACTGACGGCGTTGCCAGCACGATAATTGGGCTTTCATATTTATGTATTCATGTTACGCAGGTTTAATTTCTTCACAAATCGATTGTCTTTTCTGAAATCGGCTGTCAACCTGCGTGAATATGTGAATATGGAACACCCTTACCACTTACGTCGACGAACTTGACTTGTTAATATAGGGGGAGGGTTTGGAAGACCGGTGAACTTCAAAGGACCACACCCCCTTTTATAAGCTCAACTCGATAGAGTGCATCACGTGACAATTATAGTGCAATGTGGCGATAATTTGTAATAGAATTCTCTATTGACAACTTAAAAATCTTTAATTTTCACTTATTATACAATGTTTGGGTAAAATATAAGATTTTATCCTAAATCTCGATCGTAAAGGGCAAACTTTGGGATGTTTTTATGAGCGATAAGCAAAACTGCCGACGCGATGTATACCTATCAACGGGGTGCCAGGAAATTGTGTCAGTTGTGAGGTATCCTATTTCAACATTCATGTGAATTGTGAAGCGAATTCGGCGCAACAACGATCGAAAAAAGGCTCATTTTAGGTTTTCAATCATGGAAAGACGAGGAACTCGATACTGAGCATTCAGAAAGCTTTTATTCGCCCTTTGAGGACGATTTCGAACAGACAATAGCGCTTCTAGAATTGGATGTGGATGAGGTTCAAGTCGAAGTTGAACAAGCACTTGAAGAGGTATGAAATATGACAATGATACCTATATATTATTGTAAGCAAAGATATTTACCTAATTTATATTTGTTCTTACGACGCATCGTCTCTAGGTTGAAGGAAAGAAACAGTTTCCTTGCGATTTCTGCGTGAAAGTGTGCAAGTCCAAAGGTGGCCTAACAAGACACCAACGCAGTAAACATGTTGCAGAAATGGGCGAGGGATCCTCAAGTCAATCAGATATACCCTTGATATCAAAAGAAAAAGTGTGTGACTTAATACGTGATATCGGTCGACACTTGGTTGATGAAAAACTATATCGAAAGGAGCATACAGCAGAGGTATTCAAGCTTCAACCAAGCAAGTCGTTTGTTACTTTTGCCAATCAACTGTTGGTGAAATTTAAAAGGAGGAGTAATCAAGACAAATTATTGAAAGAGTTTTATGGAAGTACCAATTCAAACTGGAGAGAATATTTTCATCCATGTGACAATAAAAAAGTGGTGTTTTTAATGCTCATTCATCTCCCAGAACGCCTGATTGAGTTACTAAAGGAAAGGCAAGATGACCAGGGACTATCTGATTCTAAGGTATGCTTATTTAATTTATGGATACTAAGAGATCTACATTTGACCATGCTGTATATACAAACCTTAACTCAATTTACTCTTAACCAACAAACTAATTTTAATCAAAGATTCCCATCTGAATTTTAGGAAGAATTGACACCTCAGGAGTATGGACCATTAGCATATTTAGCTGGCTATGTGATAAGATCTTTGTATCAGAAAAGCAAGAACTGCTCTAGAAACAAATCTTCCAGAAACAAAGAAATTCAAGCCTTGATGTCCTCAATGCGAGTAGAAACAGAGGCCAATGAATATGTCTCATCGTTGTCAAGAGGTGGACTTTGGTCACCACATTCATGGGTAATAAGCATCGCAGAGATGTATTAGTATTTAGAAAATACACTTCGAAAAAAGAGAGACTCACTTGTCTACCAGCTAGTAGATGCAATTGTTAATGAAGTGATAAATTCCCCTCTTGTGATAAATATGTGGTGCAACATTGTTCAAAATTGTGATATGGAAACTTCAAAGGAGTGTCAAACTTTATGTTTAGAGAATGTTGTGAAATTATATGTAACTGTAAGGTGTTTTTCCTTTGCTAAGGATATTGTAAATAAATATAAGCTAAGTCAAGGTACACAGAAAAAGAAAGCTTTGCGAAAAGACATGAAAATTGCCAGCGAGGAGTGTAAATAGTCATGGAGTATGTAAATATTATAGTGTAGTGTAAATATAAATGTAAATATAATAATGTACTGTATCACTGAATTGTCTTCATAATTTTAAATCATAATAATATACTACAACATCCAATGCATTCTTTCTTTTACTCTGTCTATTATCAGTCAATTTTACTCAAATGATCCTAGATTTAGTGCTGTTAGCCAAATGATGCTAGATTTCAGCTTAATGAGTCAATCAATCAATATATTTTAGTACTATGAAAAATTATTTACAAAACAATTTAGCAATTACACAGAATATATGATACAAGCCAGCTGTAATAACCATCTATAGTTAATTTTAATGTTCTTTAATTAATTAATTTCTAAATTAGGAATGTTCAGCAAAGGCTCAAGTAAGTAGATACAGTAGGAACATTTGTGTCATTCTTAATTAATAGAGCTTTCCCCTTTTGGCTTTCAAGCGCGCGCACAATGTGTGATAGTAGTTGATTATTAAGCAACTTTGAGTTGTAATATCGCTCTGTTTAGATGCGATTTTGTTTGTAAGAAAACCTTGCCTTCTTCTTGCTTCTATGTTAAACTAAATCGCTCCTGAACATGGCAAAATCACAACTCAAATTGACTACCTTCACACATTGCACACTTGAAAATTCGTCTTTTCCTGAAGGAATCCTGAAAATTCCAACTCCAGTGCTGTTTCGACATGTCCCGCAGCCGAATATGGAGTAATTCGCTCCCGGCATCGCGAAAAAATTGCGCTCCGCTTCGCTTAAACAATATACTTTCGCATATGTCAACACCTCAAGCGTTGCACTATAAGTCGCACGTGACCGAGAACAATAAGTTATTTTGTCACGTGATCCGGCCTTCCAAACCCTCCCGTC